GCCGGCCCACGCGCTGTTTCCTGGTGCCAGCAGGTGACTCCTTTTGCAGGCACAAAATCTGCAGGCTGGAGGTGGGACGTGTCCCAGGGATCACCTTGGGGGGACGCATGGAGCCCTGACCCTGTCATCACCGCCCCCCCAAGGTCAAGCGTGGCCAAGCCTCGTCTGTCGGGCTGCAGGCAGAGCGCCATCTGTCCCAGCAGAGCCCCGTGTGCCTCAGTAGATGCACAGCGCCCACGGCCTGATCCCTAAGTCCTGCGCTGGCCACTGGCTCGCACGCCAGGCGGTTTCCTGGATGGGGCCCGGGGGAGACAGGTCCCCTCCAAAAGCTCCATTGTTGGCAGCAGGGAAGAAAACGTTTACTGCGGTGCCTTTGACTGTGTCTTTATTTGGGGGGACCGGGTCAGCGCCTGTCTTCTGATGGGTTGCCCGCGCTCTCGTTTTCTCGCGCTCCCGAGCGGCTGATTTATATAAAGGTGTGTCAGCAAGGGGCGCAAACGGGGGCGGCCGCCTCCTCCTGCTGACGGCGGCCACGCCAATAATTCATTTCTTAGCTCATTAGCTAACAGGGGCTGTGAGCAGCGGGCCCCGGGGGAGGGGGGCAGGGGAGGTGATGGACTGCCGGCTCCTCTGCTCTTGAACTGGCCTTCTGGGGTGGGGGGGGAGCACAGCCAAGGCAGGCGGCCCCAGAGGGGGCCTGGGACTGCAGGGCGCCCATCGGGCTGCCTGCGCCTGGCGGCAGGGCACTCAGGGCTCAGGGCTTTAGACAGAATACCTGGTTTTTGGCAGAGAAGGCCTCATCGTCAGAGTGCCCGCCTTTCACGCGCTAGCTGTTGGCACAGAAACCAGATGAGGATGACGGAGAGCCGGGGGCTCCAGTGACAGACAGGGACCTTCCCACAGCTGTGGGGGCCGGACGCCGAAGGTCAGGGGGTCGGCAGGGTTGGTTCCTGGTGAGGCTTCTTCCTGGCTTGCAGATGGCGACTCCACGCCGTATCCTCATGTGGTCTCTTCTCTGTTTGGCGGGGGGGGGGGGGGGGGTGTCTCGGGTATCTCCTGTGACACACCCGTCCCATGGGATTGGGCCCCGCCCTGTGACTGCTTTTAACCTTCATTGCCTCCGACACACTCTGCCTCCAAATAAATTACAGCTGGGGGTTGGGAGTCAACCCATGAATTGGGCAGGGCGGGGGGTGCGGGGCACAGCTCCATGCAACTTCCGGGAAGTCTTTAGACGTCTGACCAGACTGGGCCCCTGACAGCCACGGGGTCCTGTCCCGCTGAGCACCCCTCACGCCAGCGTCTCAGGCCCCTCTGCACCGTGGGTGGTGACCAGGGGTGGCCCACGAGACACTGATGGCTTTGTCAAGGCCCCGGCCAGGTCCCCCGCCAGCCGCCAAGTGTCGGACGTGTGAAGCTCAGTCCCACAGATGCTGGGGGCCTGGGAACCACAAGCGTCCAGCAGGCACTGTGGCGCCGCCGCCCCTGCGTCACCAGCGCAGCTCTGTACACGCCGCCCCACAGGCGCCTGGTGGCACAGGGAATCGTCACGGGCACTGTCCTGTGACCGCAGTGCCAGCAGCTGCTGTTTGCAGAGTGAGCGCTGTGGCCAGCCCACCACCGGCCACGGGACCTCACGTCCTGGAGCCCCCACGCCATCTGTCGACACCGGGGCGCCCGCTTCACAGACAAGGAAAGGCGGGCCCCAGGCGGCGCTGCGGTGGCAGAGCCTGCGCCACTGGGAGGCACAAAGCCGAACGAGAGCCGCCGCCTCTGGCGCCGATGGCGCGCCTCTCCCCCCGCTGTGGCCGCCGCAGAGTGCGCCGGAGCTCAGTTCCCCCGGCCTGCCGGGGGGTGGGGGGCGGGGGCAGCAAGCGCGGGGGAGGGGTGTGAGCAATGGTCGGTGCTCGCATCTGGGCGGGGGCCCCCAGAACGCTCACGTTCGTGTCGGAGCCTGCCGCCCCCAAGCTGGTCTCATCCTGAAGAGCAGCGCGCTGACAGGCCCGGAGTCCGGCCGCCCTGAGCTTTCTGGCCGCCCCTTGGGATCCAAAAGCCCACGGGAGTATCACAGTGCTGTGGGGCCCGGAAGCCAGGATTGAATTTTTTAAATATTTTTATTGATTTTTAGAGAGAGAGGGAGGGGGAAAGAGGAACATCAATGGGTGGCCTCCCATACATGTCCTGACAGGGGATCAAACCCCCGACCCTTTGGTGCACACCGGCCAGGGCTGAAGCATTGTTTTTAACAGCACAGGAAGTTTGGGGAGAGAACCGTGGTTCTGTGAAACAATAAAAGCCACGCCTTGAACGGGTCTGGGGGCGTCCTAGTGGAGGGCGCGGCAGCCCCCAGGAGGCCTGGAGGCTCTGCACCTGTGCCGTCCCCTCGCCGGGCCCACAGACGCACAGTGTCAGGCCCGTGGTCCGAAGCCGCCGCCAGAGGTGCTGCCGCGCTCCCCAGGCCGGGCCGCCCGGCTCCGGCGCCCGCGGGCGGCAGGCGGGTCCGCGGTGAGCTAACGCAGCCCCTTCGGCGCCCTGTCCCTGATTTCACCCACGTGGTGTTAGAGTCTTTCCTCTAAAGAAGGCGCCCCAAAGAGCAAGCATTTTCAGCCCCAGCAAACCGGGACCCGCCTTTCAATACTCACTTAAAAGCAGAGCACAGTTCAAACAGGATAATCGTTCAGATGCGGGTTGGGTCCGGTGAATTCAGGTGAGCTTGTCTGTGGGGTGACCAGATTCGAGGGCACAGGTCACCCCACGCGTCCGAGTGACAGCAGGAGAGGATTCGAAACGGAGGGCTTATCCTCCCCTTTGGGGTGTTCGTACATCACAGGGAAAATGGAATTGTGGCCATTAGGACCACCGCTCTCGCCTCCCCTGCAGGCGACTGGCAGGGAGCCTGAAAGCCGGCCAGAGCGGGACGGAAGCCCCCGATTTTAACGCCTACCCCAAAACTGGAGCTGGCGCATTGGACCCGGAAGACGGGCACGTGACCCTGTTTCTTTTCCTCGCGTTCACATCTTGCTCTTCCTTGCTGGTGATTTATGAGATGCATCAACATATGTTTACTACATGTTAAATAAGGTTCTTGAGTACCGTGAGGCCAGGGTTTGGCCAGAGTGCCTGTCTCTTGCCTCCGCTGCTGTTCCCAAGCCGTTGCCTGTGTTCCAGTTCCTGTATTTTGGCCCAAGTGGGGACACCGCGCCGGTCCCCATTGGAGCCACAAGGGCAGGTGCTGGGGTGGCTTCCAAGCTGCGGCCCAGCATTTGGCCCGGAAATCTCTACATGGCAAGGGTCAGGGGTCACTCTGGGGTCTCCCACATGTACCAGGAAGTGAAGCACAACTAATCCCCATCAGCCCCTGGAAGGTGTGTTTGCCTAAGTATTTAAGAACAGATTAGGGCCCGGCAGACGCTGGGAACAGAGTCAGCAGGGGAAAGGTGCAAACAAGGCTCCCTTCTGTACTTGGCAGGAAAAAGGCCACGGGTGACGGGCTTCCCTTCCGAGGATCGCAGGTCAGGGAGGCCCGAGCGACCCCCGGCCGTGGGTGGCTGTGGGCCTGGGCGGTCCTCCGGAGGACAGGCCGGGCTTCAGGGCGCGTTGGTGCGTCCCCGCGCCGTCTCTGTCCCTGGGGCGACGGCAGTCGCTGCCCCTCTGCGGGGCTTCCCTCTCCCATCATCACCCTCATCAAAAGTGCCCGTCCCCGCAGCGCCCCCGCCCCTGCGCTCCCTGACCCTCCCGGGTCACGCGCTGCCGGCTTCGGGTCTGCTGCTGCGTTTTCCTGCCTGGATACCCCCACCCCCAGCCCCAGCGATGCTGCACGGTCTGGAGGGTGGCGCTCTCCATGCTGTGAGCGTCCTTCTGGGGAAGCCGAAACCGAGCGCCCCAGGCAGCAGCCGCGAGCGCAGGGGTCCGCGGCCGGGCCGGGTCCTCTGGGTCCGTACAAACACCGGGCCACTGGCTCCTCTCGTCTCAGCCAGTCCCTCCTTTTCGTTTCCAGCCCTCCCTCCAGGTGTCACGTGGAGCGTCCTGTCCCCTGTGAGGCTGCGGGTGGGGGGAGGGGCGCTCTCATCCTGCCCGCCCGCCTCCTGTCACTCATCCTCAGCGCGCTCTGCCGTTGAGGGCGGGGGAGCCCGCTGCCGCTGTCACGCCCGGCCCCCTGAGGCCCCGCGCCCTCCCCGGCGCCGTCCTCTCCTCCGTACCTCTCGCCTGGCCCCGGGCTCTGGCCGCCTGCCCGGACTCCTAGGCTGGGCCCTATGCACTGTCCCTCAGAAAGCCCAGCGGTGTTTTGTCACTGAAGGAACCCACGACATTCTCCACACAAGCCAAACTGCCCCCCACCCCGGCCCCGTGTCTGGGGAGATGGCAGAGTTGCACGCGGCGATGGGGAGGGGACAGGAGAGGGGTCGGGGGGGCGGGGTAGGGGCAGGGGGCAGCTGTGTCTCTGCTCTAAGCCTCCCCGTCCAAGTCTCTGCCCTTCACGTGAAGGTCTGTAGCAACACTTCCTGCAGTGGTTAGAGCCCCTGCGGGCGAGGCGTGAAGAGCCGGTCAGCCCCCGGGAGGGGGGCGGGGGGTACTGCGCGCCCGGTCCTGCCCGAGCCCGGCCCAGCGTCTTCAGTCCGGACTCACAGCTGCCCTTCCGTGCAACGGGCCCACAGGCCTGCGGCGTCCGTCCCGCGGGGTGCCCAATGCATCCCGGGCAGGGGGCAGTTCTCCCAGGCCGCAGCCCCGCGCGGAGTGGGGAGGGACTCACGCGAGGGCCCGAGGCCGCAGGGCACCCGCAGCGCCCTAGGGTTTGTCAGAACACCCTCCGAGGCCCTGGGGGAGGGGACCCCGCTCTGTGAACCGCGGGTCAACCCCTCCCCGGGGCTTCCCCACGCTGGTGAAGACACGTGCCCCTGCGGTTTGACTTCCCTTCCACGCCTGCTGGCAGGAAGGCGCAGGCGCAGAGGGCGGCAGCCCCCGCTGTCCTGCCTGACCGTGGCCACGCCTGCTTCTTGCAGGGAAGAGAAGGAGCGGTGGATCCGGGCCAAGTACGAGCAGAAGCTGTTCCTGGCCCCGCGGCCCTGCCCCGAGCTGCCCCTGGGCCAGCACCTGCTGCGGGCCACCGCCGACGAGGACCTGCGGGCGGTCATCCTGCTCCTGGCGCACGGCTCCCGGGACGAGGTGAACGCGACCTGCGGGGAGGCGGACGGCCGCACGGCGCTGCACCTGGCCTGCCGGAAGGGGAACGTGGTCCTGGCGCAGCTCCTGGTCTGGGTAGGTGGCCCGAGCGCGGGGGGCGGGGGCGGGGGCGGGCGGTGTTGCTTCGGGTGTCCGCCGGCCTGGACGTGGGAAGCCAGGGCAACGGGGGATTTAGGACTTGGGGCGGGGGCCCCCGCCCAGAGGGCTCACCTGTGGGAGCCTCCGCCCAAAGGACCCGCGCGGACTGGGATGCGGTCAGCTGGACAGGCCGCCCCCCGTGGGGACTGCGGTCCTCTCCGTTCGGCATTTGCTGGAGTTTCTGGGGAGCTCACCCTTTTAGGGAACCCCCTTGATCCAATGTGGTGGGTGGGGTCTCTCTCATTTGTCCACAGGAAAAACGCCCGTTTGGGTCGGGGGGGTGGACAGAGAGGATAAAAACCGAATGGCTTCTATGGCTTCCCATCACCCGGCCTGGGCTTTCTCATTCAAGTGACACAAAACTGCGGCCCTCAGCGGAGCGATTTAACATGGTAGATGTGTGTCAAAGGGTTTCGCCTGGGCTGTTCTGATTAATTTTTACTGGGGAAAGTTGTTTTTTAAATTCCCATGGAAACATCAGTGGTGAACCTGGAACGGGGGCAGGGGCATAAGGGGAAGAGGGGCTCGGTGCAGGCCAGGAGACGCCCACACCCTGCACCCGTGGGGTCCTCGGGCCCCGGGGCCGCTCGGGAGGGGGCAGGGAGCTGCCTGCCCAGAGGGTGCCTGGGTGGGGAGGGGCGCTGCCCGGGGCTCTGCCATCTCTGCCCCCGGGGGGGCCACAGGTGGGTCTGTCCCAGCAGCTGAGGACAGCTCCGCCCCTGCATGTTTTCACTGGGCTTTTGTCATGGGTGTGACGGGAGGGTTAGATGCCCAGGTATCAAAACCACTAAAACGTCCAGCTTCACTCCAGCAGTTGCATGTGGGTCAGCTCGGGCTGCCCGAACAAAGCTCCACGGGCTGGGGGGCTTCCACAGCAGGAGCCCCTTTTTTTGCGGCCCTGGAAGCCAGAAGCCCAAGACCGAGGGGCGGGCCAGTGGGTTCCCGTGGCTCTGCGCTCGGCGGGCGGCCGCCGGCCTCTCCCGTGGCCGCTGTGCGCGCGCACTCGCGGGCTCTCGCCCTCACCCCCGGGCGCCAGTTGCTCTGGGCTAGGGCCCCGCCGTGGCCTCCCTTCGCCCCTCCGAAGGCCCGTCACCAGCTGCGGTCACACTCTTGGGTTTCGGACTCGGTCCACCGTGGACTTGGGGGACACAGTTCCGTAACAAATTGCTTAAGCGGGGATGTCCAACCTTCTGGCGTCTCTGGGCCACACGTGAAATACACAAACAATAACGAAAACTAGTGAGCAAAAAATAAGTTTTTAAGTACATTTACGATTTTGTGGTGGGCCGCATTCATAGCCATCCAGTGGGCTGCATGCGGTCCCCGGGCTATGGGTCGGACGCCCATGCGTAGCCTCTTTCCCCTGCGCACGGGCCTAAGTCCCTTTCATCGCCACACTCCGTGCTGACGGGAGCCTCCCAGGCCCAGTGGTGGCAGCCGAAGTCAGGCTCCCCTTCCAAGGGCAAGAACCGTCGGCGTGTGCGTTCAGGGCGAGCGAGGGTTCCCCGCTTCCTGCCGCTCTGGCAGTCAGAGAGCCTGAGAAACGTCCCATGTGAGGACGTGTACCACGGCACTGTTCACGCCAACGACACTTGTTACACGGAACGTGTGGCGCCCAGCACGGGGTCTCCAGAGTGTATTCACGGGAGGAACTCTGGGCGGCCAGGAGGTGTCATGCTTTTGCATAATTTTTAATGATGTGGGAAAATGAGCCCAGTACAGTGTTCAGTTAAAAAAAAGATAAACATTTGTGTAAGTTTTATTTCAACGATGCATTTAGACTCAAAGGAAAATATGCTGAGCTGTTAACCATGATTACCTGTGACTAGAGAGATGACAGGAGACTTTTCTTATGCTCTCGCGTGTGGCCTCCAGTGACAACTGCTTCTGAGATCAAAAACCGACCAGTTTTTCTGTTTACAGTTGGAAGGTCCAGACAGCAGTAGCCAAATGGGGGTCACCGGGGTTCATTTCTGTCAGACGGTGGGGGGCGGAGGGGCTTGTCGCTGTAAAAGCACGTCCTTGCCTTAAAGTGGACGCCTGGGGACCCTGTTGTGCCCCCAACACGGGACAGGTGGCCCGCCACCCAGACACTAACACGGCTCTGTTGCCTCCGCAGTACGGGGTGGACGTGATGGCCCGCGACGCCCACGGGAACACGGCACTGGCCTACGCCCGGCAGGCGCCCAGCCAGGAGTGCGTGGAGGTGCTGCTGCAGTACGGCTGCCCCGACGAGCGCTTCGTGCTCATGGCCACCCCCAACCTGTCCCGCAAGAGCGGCGGCCGCAGCGGCGGCAGCGGGCGGGTGCCCACCGTCATCTGAGGCGCGACCGCGCTCCCCGCCCGCTGCCCCGCCCTCCTCCCGGGGGTCGCCGGCCGCCCACCCGCCCTCCCTCACCCGCAGCGAAATCACAGAGCCCGGCCAGCCCTCGCGGGGGAAGACGGGGCCCCGAGGCTGCAGGATCGACCGTTTCCATGGACTCCCCCCGTCGGCACGCAGGAGCCACCGACGGGCTCGGTTGGTTGACGAGAGCACACGGCCCGGGACCCTCGTCCCGGCGGCCCGTAGACAGAGCATGGCACAAGGGACGGGGCGGACGCGAGGGGGCGGGCGGCGGCAGCTCGGAGAGGCGCGCTCTCCGGAGCCGGCAGTTAAGCACATCAGTACATTTCACCTCCACCACACGGAACACTTGCCTCCATCTCATCTCTTCTCCGAGGAGCTTGACGGTGTAAATCAGAAGCGAGCTGAGTTTGTCAGGTTTGAAGCCCCTATGATGGTATGTGTCAAATCAGTTGTAGCTAATCTGTCCCGGGAGGACGCTGGCTTCATTACACTCGTATAGTTGAGTTCTTGCAGCATTACCGCTGTTTAATAGAACCTGATTAGTCATCGCCGCGAAGGAAGCCTATTAGCCGGGGAGGCAGTCACGCGGCACGCTCCGGTGAGCGCCGCGATGTGATTGCAATACTCGTAGAAGCATCATATTATCCCAGACATGTTCTTCCGAGCCCTCGGAGCCCTCCTTTCTAAATTCACTGTCATAATTTAGCCTCTGTTTAATTTTTCAGTCCAAAGAGGGGGAATCGGTCGCTGAGTTGTATTTGACTGCAGTCTCCTTGGTGCAAAAACAAAATGGGAAAAATAAATAAGAGGAGCTCAGAAACTCAGAAGGAAACCACACCCGCAGCCAACGGTGACACCTCGGGCGCCGAGGAAGCTGGCTCGGTGCCCGGAAGGCGGGTGATGCCCCCGAACAGGAGAGAGGGTTTGTGTCCTTTTGCCATGGTGGACATCTTGGGTCTCAGCCACTCCCGGGCCACGTTGCCCAAGTCGCACAGGCTTCCGTACTATGTCTTCAGACGAGATGTGTGGAAATCTATTTGAATAAAAGAAGTTCATAAATATGCATTGATTTTTGTACAGACGAATGGCACCTCTGTTAATTTATAAATTGAACTGGATGTGAACTAATAATGTGCAACTAGCTGAGATAGGAGGGTCACAGATCGCTGTACATAGAGGGTGTTCGCAGCGGTAAACACTTCCATTAACGTGATCTACAGCTTGTAAAAGGGGGCACATCAGAACAGGGCGGTAGCACAATTTGCTTATTAAAATCGAGAAAGAAAAAAAAAAAAGACCCAAGCGTACGAGGAGGGGGAGGGGCGCGTGAGAGGCCTCATTATGGAGAACGGGGCTCAGGGCCGATGCCGCCTCGGCCGCCAGCCAGACAGAGGCCCGGCCAGGCGTGCGGGGCGGGGGGTGGGGTGGGGGGGGGCAGGCGCCGGGTCCCGTGCCGGGCGGTGGTTAGCTGTGGCCGCCGCCGAGGGCCCTGTGGCACCGGCTGGCCCCTGAGCATCCCTAAGACGCTCCCTCGGTAGCCAGGCCATCCATTTTCATATGGCTCCTGTTTGTCGTCATGGTTCCGGGCTGCTTCCGGCTTCAGCCGCCTCCCGCGTGGAGGCCAAACAGCGGGCCACGCCAAGGCGCCCTGGGTCAGGAAGGGGGCGCGGGCCTGGAAGGTGGTGACCCGGCACAGGAAGGCGGGCCACGTCCGCCCAGCCGCCTCGAGAATTCCCTGGCTTTCGTATACCCGTCCTTCTATTTTGTAAGAGTTTTTCCTCCTCTTCCCCTTTTTTTTAAAAAAAAAAAGTAGGTAAGAAAAAAACAAAGCTTTACATGGCGTTTCTCTGTGGGTGGGCGCTCCATGGGCATCTGCGCTCTCCGCGCGGTCCGTGGAGCGTGGCCGTTGCCAGAGGCGCCAGGCGTGGACAGGAGACCCCCCCCCCGCCCAGTTTCTACTTCCGTGTGTCCTCACTGTGCAGTTATTTCGAATGTGAATAGGAAAAAAAAAAGTCGCCTATTTTTGAAGAAGCATCACCGCCCTAACCCAGCTACACACGCCCGCCCCCACGCAGCCTTTAGCATAGGCTCGTCGTCGTGAGCACAGATAGAAAATACCTGAAATTCCTAAATTATTTCGTGGTAGTGAGCCCCGCCATAGGAATGCTTTCCACAGCGAAGCCGCCTTCGGGAAGGAAGCGGGATTCCTTGTAAGCCTTCTCTTTGGGATGTATATGAGTATGTACATATTCTTATTATATGTGTTTATAATATAATATTTTCCCAAATGACTTGTTTGCTCCCAGCCATTCACGCCCCGAATGCTGGGGCGGCTCTCCCGCCCCCGCTCCGGCCCGGGGGTTCCCTGGGTCCCTCCTTAGACAGCCCGGCCCGCCCTCCGTCGTGGCGTCGCGGGTCCTGGAGGCGGCCTGTGTCCTGAGCCCTCGCAGCGGAGGAGAGGCACGCGTGGGCTTCGAGGGCTTTCTTTTCAAGTCGGGGCACCTGGCGGCTCGCGGGTTGGCGCCTCCGCGTGGGGCCAGGAGGTCTCCGTTGCTGACGGCGCTCGTGCCACCTCAGAGCCGCACCCGGGCCGAGGCCAGGGAAGCCGGGAGCCCGGGCCGTGTCGGGCACGGCCAGTTTGGGAAGGGGCCCGCGTCGCCATCGTGCCTTTCCTCGTACAGCCTCTGAAGTGACAGTGACGAGAGGCGCCGCCGCCGCGGAGCCCACACGGCCCTTCCGTCAGGGTGGCCGTTTCCCCTCCGAGGAGGAACTGCCCGCCGGGGAGGCCCCCCGGGGCCGGCGGCCACAGGTGGGGGCGGCCACGGGCGGCCTCGCTGGGCCCCTTCCGCGGCCAGGAGAACCCCGCACGCGGGGGGCCTCGCGTACCCCCCGGGAGGACGGGAGGCTTACCAAGCCCAGAACCCCGGCCACGTCCCTGTCCCCTCCGCCGCCCGTCGCCCCAGGAAGCGACAGCTCGGCAGGCGTGGGTAGGCGCCTTTCCCTGTCCTCTGGTGAGCACACGCTGCTCGAGATCGCCCCCGGAAGGAGGGGACGGCCACAGGGCGCCGGCCGGCCGCGGGGCTGGGGGCGTGGGGCAGGGCCGCTCTCGCGGAACTGCCCGGGGCGGGAATTCCACCGGCAGCCCGGGCGACGCGGGCCCTCCGACCCTCCGGCCGCCTCGGCGGCCCCGTCCAGCCGGGTGCGGCCTGCGCGGGCCGGCCTCTGCCTCCTCCAGGGCAGACCCTGGCCCTGCCCGCTTTCAGGAGACCTGCACGCCCTCAGGCCCATCCCCCGCGTTTGCCAAGGAGCTGCCACTGACCTCCTCAGGGAAAAACGGGTCCCGCAGCAAAGCCAGCCCCGGGGCGAAGCGGGCCGGGGCGCCTGGCTCTGCTGTCCCACCTGTGCAGCGGGGGCAAGCGTCCAGCTTCCCGGGCTCCTCCTCCTCTGTGACGCCGGTGTGGCCTTGCAGGGTGTGCTGACATTGCACACTCTGGGATGCGCGCCCCCGATGCCCTGCCTAGGGCTGGAGGTTCGGAGACGGGCGCGTCTGTGAAGAACAGAGACGTGGGCCATGTCCGCCCGGGGGGCCCGCCCCTCCCTGCGAGCCTCCCACCCTCCTCTCCCTGTGGGAGCCCGTGGGTGCTCTGAGGCCCTGCCCCGGGAGCCCCTCTCCCCGCGGGGAGGAGCCCGAACCGCCCAATCCCCACCTCCTCGGCCCCTCACCCCAGCTCGCCCCCCACTTCGCTAGTCTGCGTTTGCTTTTCCACAGGCAGGAAGGGCTGGGTCTCGCCCCGCGCCCCTCAGTGAGGTTGCCTTGGCCCAAGAGGACCCCTTCCGCCCCCCGCACCGTGCTGTTGGCGTGGACAGGCCCCCTCCCTTCAGGAGCCACCTCTGGGTGCCCAGAGGCCTGTGTGCCGCACTCCTGGACTGGTCCTCGTTTCTACGGTCTCTTCCACTTCCTTTGCAAGTCGGAGCCCACCGGGGGCTCCCTGGCTTGGCCGAGTGCGGCTTCGGGCTCTGCCCTCTCCCCTCCTCTGGCTCCCTGAGCTCGCGCGCCGTTGGACACAGCGTCCGCCTCGCTGGGGCTGTCTTCCCTTTCAGAGCGGCGTGGAACTTGTCTTGTGCCTGCACTTGGCCACCACGTCTCCCCCCTGAGAGTGGCCATTGAGTCCGCCTGCCCCCCGCCGTGCTCATGCATTGACAGGGGTCCCCGTGGCTCCAACGCTGCCAACCCTTTCTCTGCATTTAGAATGTTCTGGAAACAAGGGGGAAATCCACGTTCCCCCCCTAGGGAGCTTCGGAAGCCTTGCAACAAGGTAGATACTCTTAACTTCTCAAAAGGCAAAGGGAATTGGGAAGCAGATCCGTTACCTGGGTGGGCTGCTTCCCCTCCCCCCACATCTGCTCAGTGTCTGCCCCCCGCCACGCGCCCGCAAGGCCGGTGCGACTTTTCTAGAACTCCCCTGGGTTGTATTTATGTCCTTCAAGCAAACAAATTGAAAAGCAGTCAGGAAGGGATTCAAATAGAAATGTGCAGAAGATGCACATTCTTTCCCAGGAAATATAATTTATTTCTCACGGCCTCCTCCAGCGTGGGCTTCATGCGTTGTGAGGCCGCGTGTCAAAGTGATTTTCACCCTCATCCTTCACCAAAAAGCTAAATAAGGGCCTTTGGCATCAAGACCTGCGTTCCTCTCCCTCCGCCATCACCGCCTGGACCCCCGCGCGGCTTGCTTCTGGCCGCAGGTGCGCCGCTCCCCTGGGCGGGCCCGGCTCCCCGGCTCCCCACCGCCCTGCCCTGTGCCCCGCCCCACAGTGGCCCTTGGTCACTGGAGCACCTGAGTCAGGCTACCTTTCCTCCCAAAGGTCAGGTCCCTCCAGAGATGCAGGAGAGAGCAGGGGCGGGTGGCCCTTGGGGCGGGCGTAGACATCGGTGCCGGGAAGCGGCCACGGGAGCCCAAGGGGCCGTGGCGTCGCG